ATCAAAATGATAAGAAGTGATAGGGGTGGTGAATATAAATCTCCTTTTGAACAAATATGTTTAGAATATGGAATTATTCATCAAACGACGTCCCCTTACACGCCCCAATCCAATGGGATTGCAGAAAGAAAGAATCGTTCATTAAAGGAGATGATGAACGCATTATTGATAAGTTCTAGTTTGCCACAGAACTTGTGGGGGGAAGCTGTTCTTACGGCTAGCCGAATACTAAATCGAGTACCCCATAGCAAAACACAATCCATTCCATATGAAAAATGGAAAGGAAGAAACCCCAACTTGAATTATTTTAAAGTGTGGGGGTGTTTGGCAAAAGTGCAAGTTCCTAAACCCAAAAGGGTAAAAATAGGACCAAAAACCGTTGATTGTATTTTCATAGGATATGCGACTAATAGTAAAGCATATTGATTTCTGGTTCATAAATCAGAAAATCCCGACATACATAATAATACGGTTATAGAATTAGATAATGTTGAGTTCTTTAAAAATATATCCGTATAAAAAGGAATGTGAGTCGATTGGTGAAGGATCTAAACGACCTCGGGAAGAAACAAAAAAAAGTACACTTAATCAGGAGGATCCAAGATGTAGTAAACGTCAAAGAACGTCTACTTCATTACCATATTTTGTGACTTTCTTATTGGAAAATGAGCCTCAAACATTTAAAGAAGCTATGTATTCTTCGGAACCATTATTTTGGAAAGAGGCAGTCAATAGTAAAATATAATCCATACTGAACAACCATACATGGGAATTGGTTGATCTTCCTCCTGGAAATAAACCGTTGGGTTCTAAATGGATCTTTAAGAGGAAAATGAAAGATGATGGCGCTATTGACAAATTTAAGGCAAGACTTGTGGTCAAAGGGTATAGACAACGAGAAGGTCTTGACTATTTCGATACATACTCTCCAGTTACAAGAATTACGTCCATACGAACGTTAGTAGCGTTATCTGCAGTTTATGGTCTTGAAATTCATCAAATGGATGTTAAGACAGCCTTCTTTAATGGAGAGTTGGAGGAAGAAATTTACATGGAACAACCTGAAGGGTTTGTGGTTCCAAGTAAAGAAAAGAAGGTATGTAGACTTGTTAAGTCCCTTTACGGACTAAAACAAGCACCCAAACAATGGCCTGCGAAATTTGACCAAACAATGTTGTCAAATGGTTTTAAAATAAATGAATGTGATAAATGTGTGTACATTAAAAATGATCCAAATCACATAGTCATTGTTTGCTTATGTGTGGATGATATGCTGATAATGAGTAATGACATTGCAAACATAAATGCGACTAAGCGCATGCTAGCCGGCAAGTTTGATATGACAGACTTAGGAGTTGCTGATTTAATTCTGGGAATTAAGATCCATAAGACTTCTCAAGGTCTAGCATTGTCACAATCTCATTATATTAATACAGTACTTGAAAAATTCAAGCACTTGGGCTTTAAAGTTGCAAAGACTCCAATTGACGTGAATCTTGCATTAGCAAAGAACAAAGGCCAAAGCATATCACGATTGGATTATGCTCGTGTGTTGGGTTGCTTAATGTACATCATGAATTGTACACAACCAGATATAGCTTGTGCTATAAGTAAATTGAGTCTATATACAAGCAATCCAGGTCAATCTCATTGGACGGCCATGAAACGAGTTTTTGGGGTATTTAGTACATACCCAGGACTTTGCTTTGCACTACAGTAAATATCCTGCGGTCATTGAGGGATACTGTGATGCAAATTGGATCACCGAATCAACTGATTCCAAGTCCACAAGTGGATATGTATTCACTATTGGTGGAGGAGCGGTATCTTGGAAGTCGTCCAAACAAACTTGTATTGCCCGCTCTATAATGGATGCTGAATTCATAGCCTTAGATAAAGCCGGTGAAGAAGCTGAATGGCTCCGGAATTTCTAGGAAGATATTCCGTTTTGGCCCAAACCGTTGGCACCAATATGCATACATTGCGATAGTCAAGCGGCAATTGGAAGGGCTAGGAGCGTTATGTATAACGCTAAATCTCGTCATATACGACGAAGACATAAAACCGTTAGGCAATTACTCTCTAGAGGAATTATCACGATTGATTATGTAAAGTCAAGTGATAATGTGTCAGGTCCACTTACAAAAGGCCTAACTAGAGAGGTAGTTGAGAAATCATCAAGGGGAATGGGACTGTGGCCGAGAACAAGTCATAGTGGCGGTAACTCTACCTAGAAGACTGGAGATCCCAAGATCTAGGTTCAAGGAGATCAAACAAAGTCATTAATGACGATTCAACATTGTCAACTAAACTTTTGGTCCATTCTCGTGATGAGACAATGTTCAGTACCAAGGATAAAGCATTAAGGCTTTTTAATGATTTCTAAATTTGATACGGGGTATATCAAATAGTGTATCTACGGGATGACACATTTAGGAATCACCTATGTAAGTGTGAAGTGTTAGCTGCTTCAAGGAGAACTTTGTAAGGCGGTTAAGGGTTGGTTGAGTGACTTATGGTTGTCTAGGTATACACCAAAGTTCGACGGTTTAAATATATCAAATCTACCGATTGACCGAGTATATCCGACATAAGTTCACTACGGAAAGTTCATAGGAAAACCTACTTATCCAGATGCAATTAATCCTTGCTTGCGAATCACACAGTTTTTCATGCATATTTCCGTGATATAGCCATTCCCCATTTATGCGGGGGATTGTCGGGATTTTAAGTATATGATATGCTTAATATAGGGTGAATGGGAAATGGAGGAAAATGAAATTTTTAAGTGAAATTTTAAGTTTCCCCCCTTGGCAAAGGGACATTGTCCCATATTGGAAGAGGAAGAGGTTTTTTATGGGTATATAAGCAATTGCTCTTCTTCTAGCTCTCTTAAAGAGTTGAGAAGAAGGCAAGTCTCGCGCCGTCGTCATCGTCGCTCGCTCGGCTCGGCTTCGGCTTCGGATTCGGATTGGTCAAATGATCGATTGATTGATTAATTATTTGGACCAAATTTATTTGTTAATAGTAAAATATTAATAGAAATGTTATTAAATATTTGTTTTAATAACAGAATATTAATATTAAAATAAATATTAATATTAAATCCAATCCATATTTCAGTTGTGTAACTGAAAATTAAACTACCCTCTTCAATTTTCCCTCTCTATTTTCCCTCTTTATTGTTGAGTAAATAGCCATTTATGTTATGGCATTTATGCTGTGGCCGTTTTGCATATACAAACATTCTGAAGAGTTGCTCCTCTTAAGATTTCAGCCCAACTTTGGCTATAAATACAAGACTATTCTGCTCAGAATTTCCATACGATTTTCTGAGCTTCTCCTCATTCTTCTGCATACTTTTAACATCAAACAAAGCAACAGTAAGTGTGATTTGCTATCGAACTTTGTGTTCGCTGAAACACTGGGGTTTGAAGTACCACTACACCAGTGTGTAATTCGTTCTATCTTGGGAGGAAATAATCCACAACCTTGGGTACTAGGAGGGGATTAAAATCCTTAAGGAAACACTATGAATTCAGTGGGCTCGGATTAAAATTCTGTTACTGTTTTTCATTTCTGTTTATGTTCATTTATATTTTTCAGAATTATTTTACAAATACAGTTTACTAACAAATAGCTGCAGCAAACACTCAAACAACAGAACCAATTGAGACCACATTAGATCAGTTGGTACTTTTGCTATGCACCAGCCTGTAGAACAAGTTGAAGTGCAACCAGTCAGATATGGAGCAAGTACATACTGATGAAGCTGTTGCCAAGAAATCTAGTAGCACTACAAGACCTTCTATATGGTTGAAGGACTATGTTACACCCTCAAACACTCAGAATCATCCTCATTGTATCTCAAACACTGTGTCCTACTCTCATTTGTCAGCCAATTACAAGGCCTATTTGGGTGTGTTCTCTGCAACAGTTGAACCAAAGAACTTCAAGGAGGCTTTTCAGGATGAAAACTAGGTAGAAGCAATGTCACAAGATATTAAAGCTCTTGAGGACAATGCAACATGGGAAATTGTTGGCCTACCTGCAGGAAAAAAGGCCATAGGATCCAAATGGGTATTTAAGATAAAGTATATGGCAAATGGAGAAGTAGAGAGATATAAGGCTCGGTTAGTAGTAAAAGGTTATGCACAGCAAGAAGGGTTGGACTATCATGAGACCTTCTCTCCTATAGCCAAAATGGTTACTGTGAGAACAGTCATAAGCATAACAGCCTCTAGAGGATGGAATTTGTTTCAAATGGATGTCAATAATACTTTTTTGCAAGAGGACCTTTATGAAGATGTTTATATGGAGTTACCACAGGGTTTCCAGAGACAAGGGGATTACAAGGTTCGTAAACTACTCAAATCACTATACGGTCTTAAGTAGGCTTCAAGACAATGGAACATCAAATTGACGGAGGCCTTAGTGGAAGCAGGATATCATTAGAGTGCCCATGATCATTCACTCTTCACTAAGAACTCAAAATCTGACATTGTTGTTATCTTAGTGTGTGTGGATGACTTACTTATCACTGGAAGCAATGCAGAACTGATAGATGAATCCAAACAGACACTACACAATTCCTTCAAAGTTAAGTATCTAGGGGAGCTAAGATATTTCCTTGGTATTGAAGTACTACGATCAAAGAAAGGGATTCTGCTCACACAAAGGAAGTATGCACTTCAGTTGATATCAGAAGTTGGACTTGCAGGAGCTAAATAAATCTCCATCCTGATAGAGCTTAACCAAAAGTTGACCACTATTGAATATGACAAACATGTAGGGATAAATGGAGATGAAACACTAGAGGACATAGGAAGCTATCATAAGCTTATTGGTAAGTTGCTCTACTTGACCATCACCAGACCAAATCTCAGTTTTGCAGTACAGGTACTCAGTCAGTTCATGCAGCATCCCAAACAATCTCATTGGGATACAGCATTGAGGGTGGTAAGATATGTAAAGGGAGCACCAAGCCTTGGTATTTTGCTGGGAACAGGGCCTATAGATACATTATTTGCTTATTGTGATTCAGACTGGGCCTCCTGTCCTAATACTAGGAGATCTGTCATAGGATATATCATCAAACTGGGAGATTCTCTACTTTCATGGAAGTCAAAAAAGCAACAAACTGTTAGTCGAAGCTCAGCTGAAGCATAGTACAAGAATTTAGCAGCAACAGCTGCAGAAATCACATGGTTCCTAGGATTGCTTAAGGAACTGCAGGTCCAAGTTCAGCAGCCAGTGTCTTTACACTGTGATAGTAAGGCAGCCCTGCAAATAGCTGTGTAACGACCCGCTCAGTCCTTCTGAGACTTATAGCCCCGTTTCCCCCATTTCTTTTTTTTATGTGTTATTCAGCTGTGTTGAGTTGTATCGTGTTGGTAGGTTTGGGTTCTAAGTAGTTTTGGAGTAAAATGATCACTTAGTCTCTTAGTTAGAAAGCTATGTTAGAAAAGTCAACCGAAAATTGACTAATGAGTAAACGAATTTGGATTTGGATTTTTATGATTCAGTTAGCTTCGTTGGGTATTTTAGACTTAGGAGTGTGTCCAGAATATAATTTGGAGGTCCGTGGTAGAATTAGGCTTGAATTGGCGAAGTTGGAAGTTTAGAAGTTCTTAGGCTTGTATTCGAGGTTGATTTGGTGTTGTTTTGGGTGTTTCGGAGGTTCGACTAAGTTTGCGTAGTGATATATGACTTGTTGGAATTATTGGTTGAGGTCGCGAGGGCCTCAGGTGAGTTTCAGATAGGTTTGGATTGTGTTGTGCTTGTTTTTCTTATGTTTCGACGTCGTTTCTTCAAGTATAAATGATATCATTTTGAACAAATGAGCCCCGGTTTCATTTTTGATTGAAGCATTAGATCCGTATCGTAATTACGGACCCGTAGAATTGTTGAATTTGGACATCGTATGAGGATTTTATGGTCATTTTTACTAAGAATTAGGTTGCCAGATTTTTCAGTTTAATTACGAAATTGCCACTGACGGCGTATTTAAAAATCTGCACTATTTGCAAATATTAAAACCTACACATCTCCTTCGTTATAAGGTCAAATTGAGTGATTCAAAAGCCTAACTTGATTAGAATTTCACAAGGAATCCGATGGAGTCATAAAATATGAGTTTAGAGATCGTTTGGCACGAGAAAAAAGGCAAAATAACTAGCAGAAAAATATATAAAACTAGGGTTTGTTCATTCGTTCATATTTTGAGTTGGGGAGCTCGGATTCGGGCGATTTTGGAGGAGATTTTCACCATAGGGATTTGGGTAAGTGTTCTTTACTCGGTTTTTCATGAATCCATCTTCGCTATTGGGATTTGATTGATGATTTCAAAGTGAAATTGAGGGAGCTAGGGTTTGAGTTTTGGAGAGTATTAAGTGAGGATTTGAGGGATCAAACGGAGTCCGATTTTGACGA